GGTCGCTGGAGGAGGTGAGAGAGAGAGGCGAGAGAGATAGAGGCGATGACTAGGGCTCGGGTCGGGAGTCAGAGAGGCGAGGCCGCGAGAGAGAAAGTTGAGATGAAATTTTATTTTATGGGGTCGGGTTCAGGTAGGGAATTTTTAAAACAAAATAATGCTGTTTAGCACTTGAAAGCGCTTTTAAGCGCTAAACACCGCTATTCCGCGCTATTAACCGTGTTTTAGAGTAAAAAGTGGTTTTTTCCGCAATCACACACCGCAATCATGTTTATCGGAGCGGTGAACCGCCGCTTCCGCGATTAACCCCGCTATAACGTCTCTCTTTATCGCTTTTTACAGCATTGCTATCACCATCACCATCTCTAGTCGAAGCTCCATCACCATCTCTAGTCGAAGCTCCATCTCCTTCTCTAGTCCAAGCGGCTTTCTCCTTCTAACCCTCTCCTCGGACATATTAACACATAGTTAAACTAGACCGTTTTTTTACTTGAAGTTTTTTCGTCTTTTGCCACTAAAACCCCAAAAAGTCCGAGCGATGCCTTACCGTTATGCTCTACTTTCACGCTTTCCAGAACCCATCATAGAAATATCAGAAGCAATTCTAAGGTTAGCGTCCCTTTACTTCTTTTAGTCAATAAAGAAGAATGAGAAGTAGGACAACCCGGGCATGGTGACTATTGGAATTAATATAAAATTATAACCTTGAACTCTCACTATAATTTTGGAGTTTTGGTGTAATGGTTAGAGGAACTTAATTTAAGATGTTATTAGAGCAACCCAGGTTCAAGTCCTACTAGCCATGAATTTTATGCCGATTTAAAGAAAATTGATGCTACCGTGTGAGTCCAGATTTCAGCCCATGAAAAAGGGCGCACAACCTGTGGGGTATGTTAGAATTAATATAAAATTATAATCCTTAGTTCTCACCATAACTTCAGAGTTTTGGTGTAATGGTTAGAGAAACTTAATTTAAGAGTAATGACCTCATCAATCATGGCCACAGACATGGGACACATGTATGACTCTGGTACGGAAACACATACAGCGATTCTACTAAAAGTAGGACACTGTCACGACAAGACAATACATGAAAGTGGTGTTATAATGTATAATAATATTATAATAATAACTATAATAATAACGAAATAGTTTACATCCATGCATATGGACTAATGTTCATGCATTCAAGATCACTATCTATTATTTATACTGATATAAAACATATAAAGATATATTATATAATCTACGAGTAATGGGTTTTCATTTTCAATTTTGTACAAAATGCTGGACATTATCTAAACTTAGTTCTATGCAAGTAATATTTTATACAATTTTCCATTAGTCTTTGTTGTATAAATGAAAATAAATAGGTATCTGAATTATGGAATGTAATAAAGAAGTGTATGTGTAGTTATATGTACAAGAACGGTATGACAATGCTTTCAGTGAAAACATGTATTATATAACTTAGGACGCATTGAATAAGTGTCGGTGCTTGGTATGGATGTTGGAGTGTTGGGTACGGGTACAACTTCACAATAGAAGTACCCTTGCTGCATAGCACCTGATATAAAGTAAGTTGTCCTTTTTAGCAATGCATCGTTAGAGATAAATGGAAAGTGCTCTTATCTTAATATCCACACATTATATGTTTTTTCTGCTGCCAAATATCACTTTTGCAGATTTTCTGCAGCAAAAGTTTTACTTTGAACCACCTGACGGATTAAGAATCTTCCTAGAAAAGAAACATTTTTATCAAAATATTATAAAAGAATAATGTGATATGGCCAGTTTTTCAAAAAATATTAAAGTAATATTTAACTGTATAACAACCTAAGCCAAACTATTAATATTAAGGAAGTCCCTGTTAGCCATTGACAACTGTCCAACAAAATTAAAAGATAAAACAATTCCCTACAAGAATGTCCAACTTGCTTCCAAACTTGATATTCTATTCTCTTCTACTTTGCTGCAATGTATACTAGATGTGACAGTAGCTTTTCTATCTCTAGCTATATAATCTAAATGCATAAACTTCTGGATTATCGTAATTAATTTTTCAGTGGACAATAAGTTGCATTTAATTTTCTACCTCTAGCAATATAATCTAGAAGCATAAACTTCAGGGTTGTCGTGATTATTTTTTCAATGGAGAATAAATTGCATTGAAAAGTTATTATGATTGTTCAGCTAACCGATTCATTTCAATTGACTTTGTCTTTTGTATAGGATATAGTGGAAAGCAAAGCATTGAAAAGTTATTACACGTTTCATGGCAGCTTCAAAGTTTCAAGCCCTATGGAACCACCCATGTACAAATCCAATAGCATAGACAATTTCACAACCACATCACTATAAATGTTTTTCTCCTATCCTGTCATCTTTTTCAGACCTGCCCATTCAATTGAAATTGAATTGAAAAGGCAGCAAAATTATGAGTCAAAAATTGTTTTCTATCCGCCATTTCTATTTGACTAGAAAGGTATTTTAACATGACTTGTCAATATTTTATTGAATTTTAGTTTTATCGCAGATAGGCTGTTCAAGGACATCTAATTCTTGATTAGATAAAAGGTCATACTCGAAAGGCAGCTACCTATTTGGTCAATAAATTGTTTAACTAGCTCTTCTGTACATAATGTAGTTTCTTTTGAAGAATGGCATATTACTCTGCTGTTCAGTGACAGTTATTGAACAGTACTTACAAGATGGACTTTATTGTAGCAGATGTATCTATTCAAAACTTAAAATATATTCTTTCATTTTTTTCGAGATTAAAAATAACCAAAATCAAAATTCCCCCTTCATATGTGTCTATTCTGAATGTTTGTTATTTAAATGTACTACTAAATCAATAAATATTGACCTACTTTCGACAGCTATCCAATAAAAAAACATTCCTCTTTTATTGTCATCATGTGCCATCTAAAATGGTTGTATATTTGGGCAAATATTTTCTCCTCATTGACAGGTTAATTGTATAATTGCAGTTCACTTTTGGGCTCCAACTTTTAAATGGGGTATCAGCATAGCAAATATTGCGGACTTTGCGAAGCCGCCAGAGAAAATATCCTACCCGCAGCAAGTTGGTAAGTGGGGTTGATTTTAAGATTAATTTGAGCGTATACTTATATTTACGGATCAGCCTAGTTCCTTTTCAAAATGTGTTTTAGTAAAACCATTTATGTTTTGAATGATGTTCAGCTGTTACTTGCACTGGAGTTATCTGGTCACGATACAGCATGGTAATTACACCGGTAAGTGGCTACAGCAAAGGCCCAAGAATTTCCAGCTCTAATTTTTGTTTTATATTTGTCATTTCTTGCAACAGACTGAATTTCGGGGAAAAAAAACTTGTACAAGTTGATTTTTCACTTTTGCAATTAGGGCAAATGATGAATAAATATTAGGTGTAATTATTATTTCTGCTTCAAGGTAGGTACTTCTAGGTGGATTGTACAAGCATCTGATTATGGGGAGTATGGTTGGAATATGGTATCCGATATCCCTTTCTGTGGGGCTTTCAAACTACTAGCCTAACTGAAATTTAAACTAAGTAAGCACTGGATATTTCAGCCTTAGATTAATGTAGTCTTTAACGAGCATTCATGCTATTCTCCTGCAATGTCATGGAATATATTTTGCATTAGTACATAGGAACAAAACCTTGCCAAGTCACTGACTAATGTCGTCTTTCTGAAGATTGAAATTAAAAAAAATACCATCGTGAAACAATATAAACTATATACATGTTGTGCAGATAACTAACTTTATGTTTGATGGACAAATGATGCCAACATCAAGTATCCAGGCATCCTGAGCTACTGGATACGGGAATCTTCGAAATATCTCATAGGAGATACAACTATATATGGTAGATGTGCATGTAAACATGTACCTGGCTACTCATGTGTATGAGATGTAATCACCAAGTACCTGTCGGAATTTCAACAAAATAAACCATTTGCAGTAGTATTAATAAATCGCATGTTAATCAACGAGATTGTACTGGAATGGTGATATTTTATAGCTTTATTACTTAAAGTGTCAATAGGGTATTAGAGTATCCAAGGTTTTAAATGCCGGATGTTGGGTTCATGTCGGATGGTTAAAATTCATGTTGGATAGCGGAAATCAGGGATATGTCGGGGGACATGAAAAAATATCTGATTGCCATATCGAATGGTGTGCATATGTGTAATATAATTATCATAAATAAAATCTAAACAGACTTAAAAAATTCTATTGTCTAAACATATAAAAAAGTGCATATCTTATGATGCTTAGGGTTGATGTTGAAAGAAAGATGTGAGAAAAGAGGACTTCGATATTAGCAGTTAAGAAAAAGAAGATCGCTCGATATTGATGTCGAAGGAATAGCTCGGAGAAGAGACCGGAGACCGATGATATGTCGAAGGAGAGAGAGAAGATGAGCGATGGATATTACTTCGATCTTTTTTTTCATTTCCTTTAACTTATCGGCTTTTGTCTTTGGAAGTAATATTAGGACAATCAAGAATTTAAACCCAAACCCGACTAGATAAATATAATCAAAAAAATAATAAAATCAGCTAATTTTTCAGATTGAGAAATCGGCCGACATAACTGATATATCACCCGACATACCCGCCCGATATATCCGACATGTCGCCCGATATATCCGACATGAACTCTGAAAACGCAATTCGTATTGAAAAGCTCCATATCGTATCGGTTGGCCCCTAAATCCGACATGTCGGCCGACATTTGAAACACTGAGAGTATCTGAGCAGCGTCCTTAAGTGTCTAACTGTGCAACCTAAATTTTAAGGTGTCCTGGTGAGTGATTGCTTTTGGCAGGGGCTTATTGATCTTCATGTAGAGGCAATGCTGTTGCCGCTTGGAGAAGAGAGAACTATCTCATTTCTGCTGGCTTTTCAAATCATGGAAGGCTTTGTTCTTCTTGCTTTTTGCTGATTTGATGTTGTACCTTTTCTGTCTCTGCCTGTCAGTGGATTACATGCGCAACATGCACTACAGACTGCAGTTGTCCTATCACAAGTGGTTTATACTTGGATAGGGCTTTTCAGCCTTCAATTTAGAGCCTACAACCTTGCTATATGTGATTGATTTTCTGTTCTTAGCTAAATAAATGATTTTGCTATCTGGTTAACAAAAGAACAACTCAACTGAGTTCTGCTGAATATACAGGGAGGCCTGGTACCATTACTTCTGATCTTTTTCTCTTGTTCATATTTGGAATTGCAGAAGAACTGGAACCTGTTTAGTGTTAATGTTGCCATGGCTGGAACGGGTCTTTATCAACTTGGTCGCAAAATCCGGTATGCATTGATTTACTAAAATAATCTGGATTCTTGTATGCCACTAG